CTATTTTCAGTTTTCGGCAGGTATTGAGCCAATTTTTCCAGCACCATGGTTGTTTTCATCTTTAGCCTTACAGTATTTAGTCAAAGTCATGTTTTCCAACTTAGGTTGACTTTTATCTTGCCCTCTACCTTCATGGTGTTCATGTGTGCCCACCTTTTGTTGAATTTAAAGTATTTATTTCTGAGGGTATATAAGACATCGCCAGTGTTCTAAATCAGAGCTATACAAAAGGAAGAATCAGTATCCGTTCCCAACTTTTTTTTTTTTTTTTTTGGTCTTTTTGAGACAGGGTTTCGCTATGCACTTCAGGCTGGCCTTGAACTCACAGTGATCCTCCTGCCTAAGCCTCCCGAGTACTGGGATTACAGGCGTGAGCCACCACCATTCCCAACTCATGCATTCCCATTTTCTCTTTCGGTCCTATTCCTGTCTACCCCTAAAGATAACCAAACTTAACTAGTTTCTCTGGGTTGTTTCTTTCGTTTTATAAATGAATGATCAGATGCATCTGTATTTTCTTATTTTCCTTTCTTTATTTACCTTCATTCAGCTTTATTTCACTTAACACTTTGTCTAGGAAATCACTCAATATATCTCAATAGGGATCATGCTGATTCTTCACTTTTCTAGTTGTTTACGCAGTTTAGGTACATGAGATGTGTGTTCATAAAAATAGTATTTTATGCAAATATTCTCTCAATGGGAAGGGGTTTTGTGTGTGCGCATTTGCACTAGCTTCTGAGGAGAGGAAATGCTCATGAGTAACACCAACTATGAGCTCTGGTTTAGCTTCACCAGAGGCTCCTTTAGCACCTGCCTTCCCCCATTGCTTCTAAGCTTAGGTTTGCTTTTCTGCCATGGAGAACCAGCTTCTCTCAGACTCAACCACTGTTGAAGCAATAGGACTGTTTCTGGCCAGAAGGGAAGCTTTTCCGCTGAAGGCCAAGTGGGACCTGTCTGGGCAGGTGCGGGCTCTGCTCTGGGTCTCCAGCTGCCCTGCACCTGTCACTCATGTCAAAGCATGTGGGAAGGGGTGCCAGCAGTAATTGTACTTCTGTAGTACAAGCAAAAATTGTGTGTTCTGTCCTGATGTTTCTCATATCTTTGTTTTAGATTGGACCTTAACTTTTTGTTGTTTTAGAATTTAAAAAATATTAAAACTTAGCACAGTTTCATTGAAGGAAACATAGACATACTGATAAACAGAGAATAATATTAAATAAAATCATTCAAAATTTTATCATCCAAGGAATACCATTATTAATATTTTGATTTAGATCCTTTTTGCCATCTCCATGTATTTCTGTTGAATGAGTATAGCAATACGTATTTGTATTCCTTGCTTTTTTTTTTTTTTTTTTTTTTTTTT